TGATGCGTTGATGTGCAAAATCTTTCCCTCTACCCTCCGAGGTAATGCTCGAACCTGGTACTACAGTCTGCCTCCGAGGTCAATCAACTCTTACAAAGAAATGTCATCTGCTTTTGCCACAAAGTTTTCCAATAGAAGGTTGATCAGGAAAACCACTTATGAGCTGATGCGAGTTAAGCAGAGGGACGGAGAGTCTTTGAAGAATTTTATGAGCAGATTCAATGATGCAGTACTGGAGGTTAACTCTTTTGACCAAGCTGTGGGAATTACAGCTGTGATCTCAGGTCTTAGCCATGAGAGATTCCGAGATAGTTTGCTCAAACGTCCTGCCAACACCTTTAGCGAGGTAAATGATAGATCGTTGAAATTTATAACTGCTGAGGAATATGCCTTGTCGCAGAACCTAACTCCTATTAAGAGCCAACACCCGGACTGGAGAGATGAGAATCCGAACAGGAAACGGATGAAGACAACACAGAACTGAGGTCCGATGTCGACTTCCACCCCGAGATTCGGAAGGCCGAACTCAGCACCTCCGCAACAACATGTAGGTAAACCTCCAGTTAATTGGACTCCTTTTAATTTACTGAGGTCACAAATCTTTATGCAGATTAAGAATAAAATGGACTTACGACGTCCGGGCCCAATGAGAACTGCTGCTGCTACCAAAGACCATACTAGGTACTGTGATTTTCATCAAGATCACGGTTATACAACAGAGCAATGCAATAGTTTGAGGTCCGAGCTTGAAAGTCTGGCGCAGAAAGGAATGTTGAATGAGTATATCCAGAGAGTGGAACAGCCAAGGTTTGTTAGAGAACAAGGGCCACAGAATCAAGGAGTTCGCAATCCCCCAAACAGGCAAGGTGTGGGATATCAGCAGGCCCCACCACCACTCCCCCCACCAGCTAGAGTCATACACATGATTACGGGAGGTCTGGAAGTAGGTGGACTGAGCTCTAAGCAGCGAAAGTTGTATGTCAAAGAGGTTAAGCACCAGAACCGAGCTTAGAAGCGAAAATTTGACGATGCTGAGTGGAAGAATCAACCCATCACTTTCACATCTGCTGATCTTGAAACAGTTGTCACACCTCACAATGATCCTCTAGTCACTTCTGTCACAATCAACAATTGTGAAGTGCAGCGTGTCCTTGTTGACTCAGGGAGTGCACCAGACATCATGTACTTCCATTGTTTTGAGAGTCTTGGGTTAGATCCAGCTCTGTGGCAGCGGTATGATGGTCCCATCTACGGGTTCAACAACCAACCAGTTCCAGTTGAAGGAGTCTTCACCATGAATGTTGCATTTGGAAGTGGCCGAAGTTATGTGACCCTTTCCGTGAGGTTTTTAGTAGTCAAGGTGGCGTCCTCTTTCAACGCTGTCATCGGCCGACCCACACTGACTGAAATCCGAGCTGTGGTTTCCCAATCTCACCTATGCATGAAGTTCCCAACTCCTACGGGAATAGCAACGCTGTGAGGCAACCAGGAGGTGGCCTGACATTGCTATATCACCTCGGTAACACAACCTCAAAAGGGCAAGGCTCAGACACCCGAGATTAATCCCAAACGGATTCCTGATGATCGGCAAGTCATGGGTGTTGAGATAGTAGATAATCGACCAGAAGATGAAACCAGAGTTGCTCTAATCGAAGATGTGGAGGAGGTACAGATTGATGACAAGATCCGAGCCGGAAAACGCAAATTGGGACTAAATTGAACCCGGAGGAAAGAGCAGAGCTAATAGCTTTTCTTCGGGCCAATAAAGATATTTTTGCATGGACTTCAGCAGATATGCCAGGAATTCCCACTTCAGTTTTTCAACATAAACTCAGCACCAATCCCCTCAAGAAACCAGTAGCCCAAAAGCAACGCCTCTTCGAGGGGGAGAGGTTAAAGGTTATTAAAGAAGAAGTCGAGAAACTCCTACAAGCCGGCTTTATCAGAAGGGTAGATTACTGTGAGTGGGTCGCCAATCCGGTGTTGGTGAAAAAAGCAAACGGTAAATGGCGGATGTGCATTGATTACACTAACCTCAACGATGCATGTCCAAAGGACTGTTATCCAATGCCAAACATTGATAAACTGGTTGAGTCAGCTTCGGGAAATGAGAGATTAAGTCTCTTGGATGCATACTCAGGCTACCACCAGGTCCCAATGGCTCTTGAGGATGAAGAAAAAACCTCGTTCTATACTGGCAATGAGATCTATTGCTATGTAATGATGCCCTTCGGCTTGAAGAACGCAGGTGCCACTTACCAGAAGATGGTTACCATCGTATTCCGAGCTCAGATAGGACGGAATCTAGAAGTTTATGTTGATGATATAGTGGTAAAGAGTTTGAAAGCTGACGATCACTGAACCGACCTTGAGGAGACATTCAACAATCTCAGACAGAATAGAATAAGGTTAAACCTAGCCAAATGCATCTTTGGCGTGGAGTCTGGAAAATTCCTGGGTTTCATGGTTTCCCAAAGAGGGATTGAGGTCAATCCAGAGAAGATCAGAGCAATTGCCGAGATGGAACCGCCGAAGTCAGTGAAGGATATACAGAGGTTGACTGGAAGGGTAGTAGCTCTTCATCGGTTCATATCGAAGTCAGCAGATAAGTGCCTACCGTTTTTCAAGATTATGAGGTTAGCT